GTTACTATCATTACAAAAGAGCATACAGTAAGCAAAAATCAATCATTTGAAAAATGAACTGCTATTCTCAAAAATGCTAGAAAATCGATTAAATAAGTAAACTGAAAAATGATCATTTTCAAGAAATGAATTTGTGTAGATAAAAAATATAAAAATTCAAATCAAGACAAAAAGAGATGCTTACGAATCCTACAAGTCAGCTTCAGTAACAAAGCTATGAAAAAACGAAAAAATCATTAAGGAATTGAGAAAATCAACCGGATTACTTACTAAAAGTAGATAAAACTGATAGAAAAATGTAACAACAACTATTTTCAAAATAATAGTTGTTAAAAGCATATCAAGTTTTTTGTCTACTAAGCCAGACCCAGTGAAAACTCTCTAGATATTTTAAATTTAAAGCAAGATTATAAAAAAAATTTGCTTACATTCAGCTATCAACTTACAGCCTTTGAACTGAACTTTCTTCGAGAAAAGTCTTAATTTGTAAAGGAAACCAAGCTAACAAAACTGCTCGTTTCAAGGCGAAACCTGAATGTTCTGAACGCCTTTTAAGGTATATGGAACAGTAATAACATGAAAAAATTAAATGTAATAAAAACAGAATGAATTTTTTCTACAATTTGAGATTTTTTTGTAAAAATCAGCCCCCACCCCACACACACGCCATATAAAGTACAAAATGATTGATTTCGCACCTGATAACAAATAAATTATGGCAAATAAGCTTCCTTCAACCAGTTTGGAACGCTTCTTAAGACGAATTGAATCTCTGCTTACGCTTTAAAGCGCGAAATATATCGCGTGCTAGTTTTCTCAAATTGGCCAAAAAGAAAACCTTTAAGCCCCCCATAACCTCACCAAAAATCATCACAGAAGAAAAGTTTTTTTTTCAAATTTAAGCTCAAGACAGCAATACCTTTCGAATGATACTTAAAAAACTAAAAATTGGCTCGTTAAAACAATGAATTTGGTCTGAAGAAAAAACCATCCTGGTCACAAATATTCCGTTACTTTCGTTACAAAAGTCGGAACAAAAATGAGTAGTAATATGCGCAAGTCACTGAGAAAACAAAACAGTGCTGAATAATCATGCAAGTGTACATCCGGAAAAATTCTTCCGGCTATTTTACCATGTTTTTCCAAGGCCACTTGACTTTTTTTGCTTTTAAATTCTGTCCACCTGATTAGTATGAACAATCTGAGAGATGAGTGCTGATAAAAACAAGTCACGCATTTTGAAAACCAGCTTTGTAAATATGTGTTGAGATTTGGCATTATCAAAAGCATATTCAGCATATGCTTTTAGTTTTTTCATTAGCATTCATGCGGCTGCTATACGCAATTATAATTCGTATTTAACATTATAAAATAATATTTCTGCACAACACAAAACATGCGGCGTGGAAACGTTGGAAAAGCTTTCCTTACTATCCATCATTGTGACATTTTATATAAAAATGAAATTTGGCAGAATCATTCGGTCAGTTTTTACATTGTTTTTAAGGAACAAGACAGGCGAACAAAACCGCAAACGTTAAAATAATTAGAACACAAAACTTGAACGAGTCAAAAATTGCAACTATGTTTTGAAAAAATTGAAAAAAAAATTGAGTACTTTTAATTTCGAAAAATTAGCGTAGCTTTTTATAGTTTCGACTATAAATGAATGAACATGGTTTCTGCCACCAGCCGATTTAGGGGGGCGGTCCCCCCTTTGTACTCTTTCGAGATATCCGTTTTTGTTTGACTGACCCTAAAATTTTCTAAAGGAGCCTTCGGCGCCAAAATATAATAATTTTGAGAGGGGATCGCGATCCAAAAAAAGGCAATTTTTTGGTCAAAACTTTCCAAAAAGGCTTAAAAAGCCTTTTTTGGCTTTTTTTTTAAAAAAAACCTGAGGCGCGCAAAACATATGATCAAAATAGGGTCTATATAAAGATTTGGTGGAGCTCAGAAACTCAAATTGATCAACCTAAAAAGATCGACAAAATTTTCAAATTTTTTTGATAGTCCGCTCCGCCCCTCCCTCGAAAATATCCTAGATTTGCCCCTGGTGTTACAGCATTCAATCAACAATTGGCCTAATTGTAGAAAAACAATACTTTTGAGTAAAACATTGCACGATAGTTCCCTGTGTCATTGTTCCCTGTATTTAATAGATTTTTAGATTTTTTAGATTTTTTTAAATTGAGTTTCAAACAAGTAAAGAGCTAGCGGCGATGGACGGAAAAATTTACGCAAGAACTGGCTTTCCTTATCAACCCCTATTAAGTGCCCAAAATTTTCGAAAATTGAATTTTTCTGTATTCAGATAAATACAAACCTCTGCAAGAAGGTGTTTTATTAGATTAGATCACTTACGTGTGCTAGAGACAAAAAATGATTTAAATTTGACAATTTTAAGCAGAACGGTTTTGCTATTTGCCGTCTCTTAGATCAATTTAAAAATTACATCAGAACAGAGGATCTACAATTTTTTCAGGGGGAGGGGGGTTGTCTGGCGTATACTCAGGGGGGTTTGTCTGGCGTTTGCTTCAAAACTAGTATATCATGGCGCCGAAGGCACTTTTTAAAAAACTAGGTCTGCTCAGCCGAAAATGGATGTCTTAAAATAATAACAAGGGGGACCCTTCGGTTGGTGAGGGTCAGATTCCTGATAGAAAAGCATCGATCCCCGACCCCCGCCCCCACAAAATCAGCCCCTGAATCAGACGTTGAAATGAAAGAAATATTCAAAAGAGGCGGTTTTGGAGACGAAAAAATTTGTGAAACGGTTCGCCTTCCTACATCCTCTTTGTAATATGAATCACCAGCTCGGATAAATTGAGAAGAAAAAAAACATTTTTGAGAAAAGTTAGAAGGAAATTGGTAATAAGTCGGAGATATGGTGATAAGTCTGCCGTAAATTTGTTTCCCGCTGCCCCCCTCCCCAAAAAAAACTATTGTGAACTGAGCGTCTGGTATTGTATTGCTTTGCTGCAGCTAGGGTATTTGAAATTTCCACAAATCCCTAGGTCAGTTGACGCTATTCAGTTCACGTTTGAGTTTGCTGTATTTTTTCCGTTTTTGAAACTCATCGGTTTAAAAAATGAACGTTCAGTCTTCCCCTTACGAAATATTTTTTAGTTTTCTGATGAGTTCGAAGGTCTGATTGGTGCAGGTGACAACCTATTTGTCCTATTGTTCCAAGAATTTGATAGGTATAACATCTGACCTTCATATTTGCTTCCTCCTCATAGCATCCGCTTTTGAAACAATAGTAGACCGTTCAATTGTGCGTATTGACTTACCCTTGCGCACTCTTGAAATCGTTTTTTTTTAAATCTTTTTTGAGCTGCTTGTATATCTCCTAATAACATGTATCCGACCAGGTTCCATGTTATACCTGTTTGTCGGTGATCCTCTTAATTCTTTTCCTAGACCCAGCTGGTCTGATTACGTTGGTAGAGTTGTCCGTTTTGTTTTTCATTTCGACTGAGGGCTCCAACATGGGTTTTTAAAACTGTTGACATTACCAATTTATATCCTCATTAATATCACGAAAGTTAATTTGATAAAACAGTTCAAGGTAACCTGAATTCAAACTTCAAATTGAAGAGCTCAAGTTGGATTTTATCTACAGTGCTGATTTAAATTGTCCGACAAAACGCATTAAGCTTGAAATTTAAAACGCGCTTTTCTCAAATTCAGTCCAATTTAGGTAAAAAAAACACAGACAAATTTTTTTGTATGAGTTTCAGCAGAATTTTTACGTTTTGGGGAATTTGTTTTTCTGTGATTATTATTGGTTTTTTTTCAATCCGAAATTACGCTGAAACTACCGGGTCCTTTACTGACAAATTTATATCAAAATGAGCCAATTATTGAGCCCAACAAAGATTAACAAAGGTATAATCTCCAAGAAAACCTACTATTTAATTTACTTTTGTTTGACAGACAAAAAATGTTAACTTAACTGTAGAAAATACCATTTGTTTTGAATGAAAACAGTTTTAACAAGTTTTGCTCAAATTTTTCAAAATAAAACTTTTCCTAAAGTTAAAGGTTCAGAAGATTTCTATCTTTAAAAAATTAAGCAAAACAAACAAAAGTTTTTTAAATTAAAAATGTGACTTTCTAGGTAAAATGTTTTTTTTTGTCAATGATACAAAAGTAAAATTAATTTATACGTTTTCTTGAAAACATTACTTTTTTTAAACTTTGTTGGGCTCAATAAGAAGCTCACCTTGATATAAAATTGTCATTGTTTGACCAAGTAATTTCAGCGTAATTTTTGATTGAATGCAAAAGTAAAAAAACTCCACTTTTTTGGTAAGAGTTTTGGGCCCAAATATCGATAAACCCTTTTTAAACTTCAATTTTTTTATAATTTATTTTATTCGAAAATAAAAATGAAGAAGATCAGGACATTTTCAAAAAGCAAAAAAAATAGCAGAGATTTTGTAATTATTTTTGCTGCTCTTAAAGGCAACAAAATCATTATCAATTGAGTTATAGTCATAATATTACGGGTGTTCAAATTTTCGAAAATTGATTTCTAAAAAACGTCAAAATTTGTGTTCATATTTTCGGTTCACCAAATTGATTTTCCGTGCTCTCCCAAAACACTAAAAGGAACCTGCATTAGCTATATTTTTTGCGCGTCAGGCAAATTTTGAAAAAAAAACAGATAAAGAAGCGTTTTTAGACAATTTGGGTAGTCAAGGGGTCGTATCAATGAGATGAAAGGGGCCTACGCTCCCCCCTTAAATCCTCTACTTATTTACTCTAGCTGACATTGGTGTTCAATCAAGTAAAGTTTTGCTACTTTCTTAATTAAATGACCTCTTTGTAAGCATTTTCATATTAGATACCTCTTTGCACAAGTTTAAGAGTGTTGTGAAATTTTGAAAAAAAAATCACATCCGTAATCCAACCATGCTTTTCGAAGATTCTAACAAAAATCGTACAAGATCTTTTAACATAGGTATTATCAAAGTTTAATTGGTGTTACCTGCCTGTATTTATGGCACAAGTGCGACCTCACGTCTGAACTGTAATCGCTCGGGATAATAAACAGCATAGATTCCCAGTCTAGCGAACTCGGTACTAGGATACTGCCAAATGATCCACTGCCTTGTAAACAGAAATGTTACGATGGTATTCCAACATAAAAGAACTTACACAGTTTCAAAAATTGCCATCATAGCATGAGGGCTTACTTTCAAATAAAACTACCAGATTTGAAAGATTATTACTTCACAACCAACGCATCAACGTTTTGCTGAGAAATTGCAAGTTTTTTGATGCAAAAAAAGAAAGAATTTTCTTTTATTAGTCTGCAAAAAAATGTGTTAGCAAGAGCTCTCGTAGTTAGGCTCCACGGATAATAATCTAATGAATGAACTTTTAAGGCCTGTCTCAATAAAACTCTACAATAATTGATTATATTGGATTAACACTTGATTATAAATCGAACAAAAAAGAAACCATTTTAAACCAATATAATATTCTATACTGGATTCTAATGTAATATAATGGATTATAATGAGTTATAATAAATAATGTTTTGTTTTACGCAAGAGCCTAGATTTTCCCGAAAAATTTTCTGCATAATTTCAAAACTTGAATAGTGCCATTGTTAAGTTGAGGCTTACATTTGTCTTGTAAATTTTGTTGTATTGTTTTTTCTCATTACTTTTATTGAGATATCAACGCCCCTCGCCCACTTAAACCACAATTATCTCGCCACCTATCCCATTTACCCCAAAATCCCCAACCCCGTCCCCTACCTCAATACATTCATCTATTGTTTGTGTGAAAGGGGTAAGTAGAGAGATTATTGAGTTAGGGGGAGTGGGAGTTAGTTAGAGTTCGGGGTGGTGGGGATGTATTTGTTCGGGAGGGGGGGGGGGGTAAGTTCGGGGGCGCTAATACTTTTTGGGCTGTTTTTTCAACGCTTAGAATTATTGAAAAATGCTGAAAACCGCTATGGAGGATTGAGAAATTGTAGGTGTCGGGATCCAAGGGGGTTGTGGGATGGTTATGTGTGGGGGGTGGAAGGAGGGTACTTGAGGGTGTTAAAAAAGGGGGGATATTGGTGTGGTAAACCGTTATAATCTATTCTAATGGCTTTTAAATAGATCTTAATCCATTTAAATTCTGTAAAAATTATGGCTTACAATCGATTATAATTGATTTTTTAGTCTCAAAATGTAATTATCATCGATAATACTGGCAACATTAGTGACCTTAGTTTGAATAGATTATAAACTCATTGCGGGCTGCTCACTAGCACTGACAAAATTGATGTATGAGTATTGTAGTATCAAAAAAGGTTCAAATAAAATAAAAATAATTTGGATAAGTTTTATCCAATTAAAATGTATTTCCTTCGAAAACTGGAAAAATTTATTGGATCAAATCTAAAGCGATCTAAACCGATAGCCCTTCAAAAAGGAAAAAATATAGTTGGGTTGATTCTATATATGTTAAATCATAGCTTTTCGCCTCCACGCTGTTTGGGAGGTTTCAGATTGGTTTGAATCGATTTAATTTGATTTTCTTTCATAATTCCTCTAATTCATTTTTAACAAATTAGAGTTTACATTTTTCAGCAATTTTTTGTGCTCATTTTTGATCTGAAAACAAACTTTGAGATAAAATATGATGCAAACTTTGCGCAGCGTAAGTCATTTTCCAAGTCCAGTTCATCAATTTTTTTTATTAGCGTTACAAAGTTGCACTAAAATTGATTATCTTAAATATAGCATTTGAAAAAGTTCATCCTAGATTAATTTTACCAGCGCATGAACCTTTTGATTGCAAAAAATTCAAAACAACCGATGAAACTATTAGTTTGTTTGCTGCAAACTGTTTTGCAGGAATGACTGTAGATCATTATTACATTGGCGAAGACTTATTTTGTTGTATACATTTTTTGCTGAAATTCTGGAGCAAAATTAAAATTAGACTGCTGAACATTCAAAATTAGACTGCTTGAACCTTCAAAGTAGATTGCTTGAACCTTTAAAATTGATACTCATACAGCCCCAAAAACGATTTTAAATAAAAAACGACAAAATCCAATTAATTTAAGTAGCTACCCAAACCCACACAAACAAAGTTACATCAATTATTTAGGCTCTTAAACTATCTTGGAGTCCGTTTCAGCTCCTAAAGCTTACATCAGTCATCAATTTGTTTCGATTTAAAATAAAACTAAATTAATCCCGAGCACAATTGCCAAGGCGGGCTCGCAATCAGATCTAAATCCACAGAAAGTTTTGACTTTGCAGATGTAGCAACATTATCTTCAGCAGATTTTTATGAGCCGAAAAATTTCAACAATTAAATTTGCATGAATTATATTCCGATGTTAGCCTACTAAAAATCTGAATCCTTAGTCAACAAAAAATAGTGAATGAAACACAAATTTTACGGCAATAGATGTCGCAAATGTTTCGATAGTAATAGCTTTATAATCTAACAATGATGAAAGTTTCTAAATTTAAAAACAATTATAAAAATCTTGGCTGAGCATGAATGCAATTTTTTTTTCCAAAGTCAATCAGTACGTTTCGAAAATTTTCATTGTCAATTGAACTTATAAAGATTGTTTCAATTTTGGCGATTTGTTTTAATGCTTTTAATAAGTTAAACTATGGCTCAAGCAGCAATATCACCCGAAAAAATTGTTCTTGGAAAGTGGGGCTTGTCTACCAACCTATGAAATCTAACACATCATGATAACATTTTTTTAACATTGTAAATGACGTTTAAATTTTCGGATTTTTTCTGTTTCCACCCAGTTTTTAAACTTTTCTTCTTTTAGAACAACTGAATTTTGTTGTGTCGAAAGAATGATTACAAAGTTGATATTTTTTCCATTTTTAAATTTCGTTTGTCTTTTGATTTTTGAATATATGTTTTTCAATTGATGCGGTTGCACAGATTGCTAATTCGGCAAAATCAACCACAGTTTTAGTCAAATTTGAAATGTTGCTGAAATTTTGAAGATTTGTAAAGGTTTATCAATGATAGCAAACACTCTCCAAAAAAGTTTCGCTTTTTCAATAAACAGACCCATAATAAGCATTAACGACTAAATCTGATAGAATCTACAGCTCGAAAGGCATTGTATAATTTTTATTAAATTCGAGTGGTAGTAAAACTTTCCATCAAAAATCATGAAAAAGTAGTGGAGCCAAATTTTTGCTAAACTTTTGAGAACTAAAGAAGAAATTGTCAAATTTTGAGTAAAACCTCAACAATTTTAAAACAATCTTAGCAATTAATTTTTTTTTCTAAGGTCTTTAAATATTCGATATCATCAAAAGCTCATTGTCAAAATTGACAAAAGTACAAATATTTTTTCTAAAATATCGCAGATTGGTTGACTTAGGCTTGTTTCATGAAACCACCTAATTTTTGCTTCCTTTTCTATATATTTGTAGAAACAATGAACTGTACATACCAAACATGAGTAAACATAACCACACAATCGATCCGCACATTGTTCTGTGAATTGGTGATAGATTTTTGCGTCAAAAATGTAAAGATTTTTGTCCAACAACGCAGAGCTGAAAACGAAAAGGTTAAAACGATCAAATAAATGAATGAGCGTTCTTCATTAATTACTTCAATTTTGATTAGTAAATTCTAATTTGAACGTTTGTTTGCGGAAAAAAGGTTGAAATATAATACCATAATAAAACCAGTGAGCTAAAATGAAGCAATTCAATATCATCGAGTTTCAGTAAAACTATATATCATCTTCAATTTTAATAATCTTTTTGAATGAACTATACAATTCCTCCCCCAAATCGATTTAGCGCGAGTGAGATAAATTACTACACTTTTAAGAAAAATAAAGATTGAGAGCAAAATAAACTGATCTAAATAGTCAAAAAAATTAAACAATACAATTTTTGATTAAAGTTTTTAGTTATTAACAGTATAAAATAGGTAATCCTTAAGAAACATTTTCTCGATTACTAAATTCTTCTCGCTTGTTTGAATTTTATATTTACTGCGGATTTTTTTCTCAGAATTGTTACATGATGGGACAAGACATTATGCGATAGGTCATTTAAGGGGTGGGGGAGAATTTACAGCTCCCACTCTGGGATTCAATGAATAAAAATCATTGATAAATTGTTTTTAAATATACTTAAGTTTGATAAAAATAATGGATTATATTCATTTTTATATTCCATTTTGTTGCCTGAGTGCAATATGGCATTCAATTAATTTTATAAAATTTTAGAGGCAAAAAATCTATTACAAATGATTTTTTTCACTGCTCTTAAGGGTGGTTTGATCCATTTTTTAAAATTTATGTCCAATCTAATAAAACAAGGTGCTTCAGATAAATTTCAATAAAAACGTAGTTTCTTTAAAAGTTCTTTAAATGTGTCCGTTTGTTTGAAAAAGCATGTTCAAAGTATCCGGTGCTAGATATAAAAGACGACAATATTCGACAAAAATGCGACAAATGATCATCAAAATTTTTCAAATAAACTGTTCGAGTTCAACCGGTTGTTTAGATTTCTCAGAAATACCTTTGGAGAATGTGAGTTCCGTCGTCTCAAAGCCCCATCAAACTTTGAGGTCGCCCTAATAGCTGTTGTCTGATTTGCCGGACACCAAAGTGTTGGTTTCGTCCTCATGACGGAGGGACCGAATATTCAAAAAAAAGTTTCACTTATTGTAAGCCAATCAACATTCGAAAGCAAAAAAAAATCGAAATCGAACTCAAAAAATCAAAAACGAACAAATGCAGGCCACTAAAAAAACTTTGAGCAAACAGATTTTTTATGCTTTAAAAATTGATTTTGATTTATTTTCCAAAGTGGGGTTTTGGCTAAAAAATTAAAAATCTATTTTTTGAAGCATAAAAAAATATGTTTGTTCTCACAAATTCTATAGCAAAACTTTGCTGTGGCGCTATGATTATTTTTCTGTTAATATAGACTTCGATCATATGCGAAACCCGATTAGCCGATCGCAATGTCAAACGATTCTGATTGGTTGAAACTTTTTTATCATGCGGTCCCTCCATCTTGAAAATTACTCCAAAGGTTCCGTCTATTGTTACGTCATATCAAACATTCAGTAGCTCAGCTCAAAAACTTGCTGATGAAAAAAAATTTTCCCCCAGAAAAATTAAGTAAAACACTAGTTATAAAAGGAAAGTATTTTGATGTAATTATTTAAATTTAAGTTATTGTCAAAATTGTGCATCTGTAGACAAAGTGCAAACTGTTCTCAAAGTTACGAGACTAACGAAGAAGAAATATACAATCAGTTTTCAAGAAGAGTTACATTTGCTGTGCAGACTGTAACACTATGAAAAGTGCGACCACGCTATTTTGGCTTAAAACATATACAAAAAAGAAATAGAGGGACAAACACTGAATCAATGGTCAACAAAGAAAACAAATTTTATCAAGTGTACAATAAAGATCAAACAAAATTTTTATCAGACCCAAAACTGAGCTGATATTAGCGATGTAATTTTTTTGGATTAGGTGATTTCGAGATGGTAAAAATTACGATGACAGTATGAGCTAATTATATACAGCCTTGATCTTGCGTTTTCCAAGTGTTTTCGAATTTGACAGCTCCTTGATCAAACAACTCTAAACATTGCTTATTATGTTGTCTTTCACTTTTCAGGCAAGAAATCAACAAATTGCAGCTTTGATAAGAAAAAGTTTGGCTCTGTTCTTGCTTGTCATGGTTAAATTGAAAACATCTTCCTTTGTACATGCTACGAATTTGCAGTATGCTATATTTGGAAAACTTGTTAATCTGAAATTTATCAGGAAAATTTTTTAAATTGTTTTAGAAAAACCTGTAGTAACAGCTGAATTAACTTGTCTAACTAAGGTGTATAGCGCATTTTCTTGACGACCAATTAACAGTTGCATTGAAAAAAAGCTGACTGAGAACTAGACTTTTAGAAACGTAACCTTGTATAAAATTCGCAGTGAGGTTTTTAGTTAAGCTCAAACGTTGTTAACCTTTTCGTAGACTGTTTTTTTTATTTCTGGCTCCATCAATAGTATTTTGTGAAGGATAACACCCAAATGTTTATTTCGATTTGATTTCTTGATTTTAGTGTCTACACTTCCTATGAATGTAAATCCAGACTTGTTTTCATTCGAGGTTTTCATTCTTGTTTTGTCTTCGTTCAAAGTAAGTTTGTGACATTACACTTCCAAGAGTCTGTTTGAGTTGACTTCTAAGATTTTTTTTCACAAATTTAAGCAGCAAAAAACGTATCAACTGCGTGTTGCATCAATTTGCAGTTGTTTTCTAGTTTTGACTTTCTCCATCCCCTTGACATGATTATTGAACAAGAGCAAGCCCAATTTTTTCTGCAATGTATGATTTTGTTAGAGAAAGATAATTCACTTCCAACATATTCAATAGGAATGTTCATGGTTCTCTCATCAAATTTTATTGTAAAGGTTAAGAGTGAAATTATATAGTAATTAAGTTTAAATTGAGGCTATATCGTAATTTTTGTTGCCTTATCACATTAATTTTTATTGGAAATAGAATATTGATTAAGTTGCTATGTTTAGTTACGGTTTGTCAAGCACCTTTGTTTTAGTTATGTCTACCAGAGTCAAAAGGTGTCTTACCTAAGAGATTGAAGAGATTGAGATTTATAGATAGACGCAAAACAAATGGAAAGCAAACAA